TTTTTTTTTTTTTTTTTGCCGCTAAATTACGAGCTGATAGCGTTTGAAGCAACTATATATCACTTGTGTATTATTAGATATCTGTCGTTTGCGCATCAGTGGAAATCTCGCCCAGAAGAGTAAACGCCTCAAACTTCATACTAAAATTTGTTTTCTTTTTTTATTGTTATTATTATTACAACATCAAGCACGCGGCCATTCTTTTTTGACTTCTTTCGAATTCGTATAAAATTTTTTTGTTTATTTAAAGTACAGGATATATATTGTGAGTGAACAATAATTTATCATCTAGAGAGAGATTTTGAATAAAAAAAACTTGAAAAAAAATATTATGCTAAAAATACTCTCAAAATTTATTAAGTAACGTAAAAAAAAAATTCTTAATTTTTTCCATAATTGTAATATGATATATTGCTTAAATAATATATATATTTTTGAATAAACATATTTATTTTAATTAGAAAACTTTGAAAAAAATAACTTCTTTCATATATTTTATATAAATACAAGAAGTTATTTTTTTTCATTTAAAAAAATATAATATAAAAATATAAATAATAATATAAAATATAAATAAGTAATTAATTTTAATTCTTCTAAATAAAATGCCAAAATTATTCCCAAAATCAAAGTAATAAATTTTTATTCACTCATGGCAATATATCCTATGCAAATGGTGTTCGGTAAATCATAAATTTCTATAATATGAAGAAAATCAACCGCCAAAAGCAAAACAACCTCTTTTATTGAATTGAATCTTTGGATCTTTAAAGACAAATTGTCTGAAACTTAAATTCAAGACTTTGCGTATGTATTAATCTAAACAATAAATATCTTTTATACATGGAATAATAGAATAATTTGAAAATGTAAAGGCGTATTTATGAATATGAAAAAATTGTCTTATTGTCAGCGATAGATTTCTTCATATGCAAGAAATCTACAATTTATAAAATATCTGTATGTGTATGTTGTGTATGGGCGCGCGCACGCGCGTGTGTATATATATATATATATATATATATGTACACACTTAGGACCCTTATTCTCTAGGTTTCTTTTACATTTCTCATGATTTTAATTTCTTTGATAGCGAGTATGTAATATTTTCATAATTCTCGCGATATCTTATGTAAATAAACTCAAAGAGTATATAGGAAGTTATCAGCATTCTTTTCTTTTTATAGATTACTACGGACATGGATACATCTTCCGAATGTGCTGGGTGCAGTGAGAGAAAGCTTTTTTTTTTTTTTTTTTCATTTATCGAGATACGAAGAAAAATATTAGAATATATATCTCGATAATATTGATACAAGACGAAGGGTAGGGAAGATTGGATTACGACATTGTTGACTTCTCTATATGATCAAACTCTGTTGCAGGCGGTTATCGTCGAATGTGATGATCGCTTGATTAGATTCGACTCATCGCTGTTTTAGTTCTCTCTTCGAAAAAGCTAACTCCCAAAATCACTGCAGCAAAAGAGAGGATACATGGGAAGAGATTGCGGTAGAGACTAGCAATTATTAGGATCCGGTGGCGTAACGAGATATTCGTCTGCACGTTTATGATCAGATAATGCCCGCATTGTATACGTGTCTTGGGGTAAATCGCTTTTCCTTCGTAAAAGTGGCTTTGTTTTATTAGAGTTTGTCATTTTTTTTGCCTGTGACAAAAGAAAATTTATTTTAGACTTGTTAATAAACACGAGAGGAAGATCGATTTGTCATACCTCATTTGCTTTCGCTTCTATTTTTTCCAATGTAAGTGGTGTCTGATCTGTATCACCATCTTCATCGGGCGGAGGACTGTCTAATTGTTGTTGCGATATTGTACCAATTGTTGTATTCGTAATACCTTTTATAGTCGCATTGTAATTTGGATGTCGCATTGCCAGAGCTTCAACGCGCATCCACGCTTCATCTCTGTCTTTCATAAGTTTTCTTTCTCTTTGTCGATCCTACAAATGATTTTGATGAAAATTTTCAATGATTATTATTTTTTTATCCTGTTTTATAATAATAAAAAGATACATACCTGATAATACTGTTGAGTACACTCGTCGAATACTTTCTGATTCATCTCCATAAAAAGCTTTAATGCATTATAGATTAAACCATGAATAGTTTTGTTCCAATGATTTCGGGAATTTCTATAGAATGCTGGATACATAATTGGTAGAATGACTGAATAATTATCCGATATAAGTGACATTATGTATTCGTTGTTCCAGTAATACAAAGCTCTTTCAGCGACCTGAAAAAAAAAACAAAATATATAAAAAATTTTAAATCTATATAATCTATCATCAACGTGAAAAAAAATATTGCATACCTGAAAGTGCGGAGATGATACACATTTTGCTAATTGTCTAAACAACGGATCCATAACTTTTTGGAATTCCGCAGGTTCGATCACGTCAAGAATTTCTTCGAGTTCATTTAAAAACATTACTTCCTTCGGAGAATGTGTTTTTGGCCAAAATTTCAACAGACTTCTAATAACAGGTTCAGTTAACGACGGATCTTTCTCCAAAAATTGAACCACGCAATACGCCAATTGGGGATGATATACAGAGAGCGATTTAGCTTTATGTAAAGGTAAAAGCACCTTCAATAAAAATACTTTATGTTCCTCTTTTAATGGTAATGCAAATCCATTGATTATACTAAAAAAAAAAAAAAGAACAATAAATTTATTTATTATGATAAAATATAATGAAATAAATATTGTATAATGAACAGTTCAAAGTTACCTTCCCAAAATCTCAAGAAGTTCAGCAATACCATTATGATGCTCGGTTTCGTATATAAATCGATAAAAAACATTATTTATTTGCTTTCTAATATACGCTCTGAGCCCCAAAAATTTTCCATAAATTCTATGAAGCGTTGTTTTTAAAAAATCTCTTTCTCGTGGATCTTCCGAATCGAATAACTCTAAAAGTTGCAATACAAACTTTTGATCTATATAACGTCTAGCGATAGAAGGTTGAAAATCCTGAGATTCAAGCAATCGTAAGAAAAATTCATAAACTAGCTGTAAATGAGGCCAGGCCGCTTCTAATGTTGGCTCATCCTCTTCCGGATCAAATTCAGCTCCGTTTGGATTTGATGATGGAGGAAGAGTGCGAAAAAGATTCACTGCGAACTGAAAAATTTCGAATTTCGAATTAGAAAAATAATTATATTTTTATAATATATCCATTGTATCTGCAATCTCAATCATGAATTGTTTTATTAATTATCGAATTTCTATGACTAACGCGTTAAACAGTTCACTTACCATATTCACTGCCTCAGGATATATCGCTTCCGTGATCACATTTTTGTTCTTGGTGACATATTCGACCATTTCGTTCAGAGCGGTACGCTTTACCTCTTTCCATTTTAAATCCGAAAGGGGATCGGACTCGAAATCGAACAGCACGCAACATTGACGTAATTTCTGGATGAAAAGTTCTTCCCTTTCGTTTCCTTGTTGCGTTTCTAAAATAAAAAAAAATTAAAAAATATCTAAGAAATTTAATCTTTCAGATTTCTATAAACAAAAAGTTCGTTTCCTAAAATATTTCTTGAAATATTTTGCATCAATGATTGCAAATACAAAATATATTCATATGAATTTCATGTTTTCTTTACGGGTAAATATACACACACGTATGCACATTCTATTATATATATATATATATATATATTCAAATAGTATTATGAACTCTTTCTCTTGGATTTTTTCTTTCTATCATATTTCTATTTCCCCCTTATTTCTTCTTCTTTTTTGATAAATAAATCATGCACACATTAAATGCACACAAATACACATGCACACAATTCATAGTTATTCTCTACCGTATATTTTTTTTTCTTTTTATCATACATTTCTTCCTCTCATATTTTTACTACTGTAAACTTTCTCTCATAGCATTCCTTTTCCTCTCACATTCTTGCAGAGATTTTCATTTTTTCTTGACCTTCCACTTATACTCTTTCCTACATTTCTTTTTCGTGTACATTTTTTTTCAATACTTTTTTAAATCCTTTCTATTGTATTTTTTATTTATTTTCAATCATAATCATGCCTGTCTTGTTAAGTTTTTTATTCATTTTCTTTTTTTATTAATAATCTTTAATGAACTGTTTACATTCTCTCTCTCTCTCTCTCTCTCTCTCTCTCTCTCTCT